AAGTTGAGATAACAGTTTTGCCAATGAAGATAAGGAGTCCTTGACAGCCGAGGGGGCCCTGTAGCAACCCACCACCATGACCTGTTGACCCTTTGTTACTTCGACATTCACAGCTAAAAATTCTAGTTGTTTACTAACAGATTTGGAAACCATATTTGTTACACAAACTAACAGTAGGGAATGTAAATAATAGTCTAATGACAGCATGTTGAATGAAGGTGATGATGATGATGGTCTGTGTTGAACTCTGGTGAATATGGAAGTTCCTCTCTCTTCTATAGTTCAGGAACATCTTAGCTCCTCCCTGAATCTCTCTGTCTCCTCTTAGATCTGTATTTCACTTCTCTCAGTTACACTTCCTCCTGGTTTTCATGTTATCACGTGTGTGTCGTCTGCATAGCTATGGTAACTTATTTCATTGTTATCCATTAACTAAGCTACTGGAAGCATTTAAATGTTAAAGAGAAGAGTCCCCAGCATGGAGCCTTGAGGAACCCCACAGGTCATATTCGTCCACTCAGATGTTGAGTTACCTATAGAAACAAAGTGTTTCCTGTCCTTTCAGTAGGATTCAGACCAATAAAAACAGTGCCAGAGTCCCACCCAGTTTTCCAGTCGGTCTAGTAATATGTTGTGGTCAACAGTTTCAAATGCAGCGCTGAGATCTAATAACACTGACAGTGAGATTCTGCCACTGTCTGTGTTTAAGTGGATGTCATTAAAACGTTAATTAGAGCAGTCTCAGTGCTGTGTGACTGGAACACATCAAAACAGTTATCAAGTGCCAAAACAGCTGTTTAATTGTTGAAAAAACATTTTTCCAATTATTTTAACCGGCCTATAAATGTTCATCAGTGAAGCGCTCAGGTTTGTCTTTAAGAGTGGTTTGATGACTGCAGATTTCAGGGCCTGTGGGAATAAATATGAAAAACAGGAAGTGTTGGTGAAGGTCCATCAGGAGTCTGGCACCTGGTGGAATGCTCTCATTGAACATTATTAGGATAAATGTGAGAGATAAATTAAAGTAACGTGGTGTTGAAGCATCAAATAAAGGAGGCCTCTCTGCTGGGGGTTGAGTTGTTTGAACATTAGTTGTGTTGTTTCCCTAAAGTCTGACAGAGAGAGGCTCCCTCTGGTGGATGTTGATCAGTATTGTGTTGTCTTTGCTCCAGAGGTTTTTGTACAGAGTGTTGGTGTTTCCTGTCACTGTGGGCCTCAGAGCACAGTAGTACACAGCAGAGTCTGTCACTGCAGCAGAGGAGATCTGCAGATCCACTTGTTTTTTCTCCTGGTTCAGTGTGGCTGTCAGTCGAGGGATTGGAGGTTTTGCTTCCACCACGTGAGGCGGATTTGAGTCAGTGATCAGGAGGAGGAACTGAGGAGCTGATCCAGGATCCTGTCTGTACCACTGGAGATTATCAGCTTTAACTGAATATGTACAGGACAGAGTAACACTACGGCCCTCTGAGGAACACACTTCAGCACTGCTGGCAGTAATAGCATCTTCCAAGCTGTTACCTAGAGAGGAAGACATCATGCTATCATTACAGCTCCAAAGTCACAAACCCATCAATCCCTTAGTGAAAAAACCACACTGCTGTAAAGCGTAAATCCAAGATCCAAACTGGATGTGTAATGCTTTGAAAAAGTCTGCATAGTTCCCCTTCTCCTGTCAGAAACATACGTACCTATGAGAGCTGAACAGAGCAGAATTGCAGCCAGTTTCTCCATGTTCACAGAGGGGAAAGCTGTGGTTGTTCAGTATGGAAACGTTTAGTGAGTTGTGTTTGGTCTGATGTTCACAGCTGGAATCAGAGAGGTGTCAGTCATGAAGCTCTGCAGTCAGCAGGAGGAGACTCGGATGTCCAATGAGTTTCTGGAGCTCTTCATCAC